CAAGCAGATTTCAGACATTAAATTTTGGGGGTGAAAAAGTGCGTCTTATACACCGAAAAATACGGTATTTAGATTAAACAATGGGCTAACTAGCGAGTGGTACCTCCATTATCCGCGATTTTTTGTTCAGCGCGGATAATCGAGGCACTAGTGTATATTTATTTACTTTCACAGCAACGAGTGCATGCTAACGACCACATGATATGAACAACCACTTGATGGTATTGCCTGAACTAACTAATTGCCTTTGGTCCTGTCTGAGTCTAAACTCGAGAACTTATTGGTTGAATTGAGAGAAAGAAGAGATACAAAATGGCGCGAATTAGAACGCGTTGTACAACCGCATCGCTTTTTTCCTGAAAAAACATGAAGAAGTATTGAATCTGTTATTAAAATTTTAGAAACAAAGTTCGATTTAGAACTCAACTAACGGGAAAATAGTTCCGGACTTCCAAGATTCCAGAACTATTCCAGATTTGAGTTCTATTTAGCACAGTCCTACGCACGAGTAAAACGGGAGAAAATATTATTGCTACGATGGAATTTTTAGGCGACCTGGAGCCCGGGATTTGTCGAGGCCTGCTGTAATAGAAAGTCTGGCCAGTTGCAGCAAAACCGTGACTGGCCTTTCCACGGTCAGCTGAGAGGAGGAAAGTGGGAATATAACACTCATAAGAAATATTTAAATGCTTATTTGTGTACATATTCTATTATATTATGACACATTGTCTTATATTTGCATTGAATACATATATGCTTATAGTTGTATTTATACAACTTGAAAAATTCATAAAGCTATCTTTCTTTACAACTTGAGAAATCTATAAAGCCTGCATGTAAAAAACTTATGCAGTTACAAAATCTAGTCCATGTACCATTCCTGTATAGTCCAGTAGTCCCTCCAATCCAGTGTTTACAGACTTATAAATATAGTATTTGTATACATTTTCAAGCATCATAGTGACCATACATGCAGTACCACTATTGGTGATAACATTGTGGCAATGATATCAGAAGTAATAGCCATCCAATCTGCATGTAGAAAATCCAAAGGTTGTCTTTGTTTCCCGAGATAACATCATGCTCTAACTACATATTTCATTAAACTAAACTGTTTGAAATAGAACAGTATTGCTATCATACAAAAAAATACAGAAACAGAATAGGTAGCTTAAAGTGAAAATGCAATTGCAAAAAGTAAACAAACACACTTAAGGTTCGTGACATAGTGTTGACATTATTTCCTCAAGCTAAAAATTTATATTTTGTCTCCATGTCTAAAAGCTGTAATATTTAGGAGAGTCAAAATAGGGATTTAAAGAAATATTGTTAACACTATGTCTGAAACCTTAAACCTGTTTGTTTACTTTTTTGCAATTCCGTTTTCACTTTAAGCTGCCTATCTTGTTTCAGTATATTTTTAAAGATCCCTATTCCAGCTCTTTAAATGAACAATTTTTAATAATCTTGTAATAATATAAAGTTACTTAGAAATGTTAAAATGAAATTTTCCATAGTGTTTCTGTACTTTGTTGTTTGTATTAACTTTACTTAGTTAAATGATTTATATTAGCTTTTTTTATGCTGACACTATGATCACTGAGCAGAGTTTATCACTGTGTTCAGCCATAACTCTTTTAAGTGTTTACTTTGCTCCAGAGACAGTCCCTCTCTAAAGCCCAGGAGTGCGTGCAAGTGTATGCTAAATATAATGTCTAATAAGATGAAGTAAATACTGTATATTTAGTTAAAACAGAAGTGGTGGTATGATTCTGTAACTTCAGACACTGCTTCTTTTATTTTATTTTATAGTTCCTTTAAATTATCTTGTCATCCCTGAAATCTTCTGTGTTAAATGATATCTGTTTGATAGCTACAGAAGTATTTTTAATTAGAAGACATCAAAGAAGATCAGTTAGGTTTAGTGAGTAGGGTAGGCAACAACAAAACATTCTTTTATATATATGGTTGAATATATATTTATTCAGTTCAAACAAATTGCATAAATAAGTTGGCTAACTTGCTTCTTAATTATTTGTAATTGTAATATGTTTAAATGAAAATATTATCATTTTCAGTGATGGAAAAATATGGTGTTATTATCTGATTATCAAATTATTTGATTTATATGTGACGAATGGAGGATTACTGTATATCTTAAGAACAAAATGGCGACTTCATGGTTGGCTCGACATTAGAAAATTAATAAGTACCAAAAGTTTTAACCAAAATAATTTTTGATTGACAATTTTTTGCATTTAGTATTTTCTTTCATGTAAAATGAGTAAACAGATGTCTTATAATAAACAAGTAGTTGGAAAAATTACTCAAAAGATTGAAATATTAATGTAGTGTGAGAGTAATATATTAGTTGAATGTAATAGATTAGCAAGTTCCATTAATTGTCTAGATTTAAAATTATTATACAAAGTGAATTACTGAGCTGATAAAGATGGATTTATAAATGAATACAGGTTTGTGGTTAAAACTACACTAAGATGCTTCATTATTCATTCATTTGAAAGGTAGTTGAATAATAACCAATGAAATGAAGTGAGATAGTAACAGAACAGCTAATTTGTAAACTATGGTTTCATTTTGAAAACCTGCTTAAGTTAATTTAAAACACTTCATTTTTAACTTTGGTAATTTTGGTTTAAGTATATTTTTAGGGGGCTAATATCCAAGAAATGTTTTTAATAAAAAAAAATTATGCTTAATAGTATATGAACATATGACTGCTAATGTGTAGGAGAACTGCTGGTTTGAAGCCTTCTTGATTTTAATATTTACTACAAAAATTTTGTTTTTGCCTTAATCTATGGAATAATGTATTAAGTATGGTCCAAAAATTGTACTTCATTGCTATTTATTAAAAAAAATGTTCCAATAAAGTTTCATAAGTATGTTAATTTGCTTACTATAAATCATTGTGCCATTGCTATTGCTACCCACACAAACTAGCTAATGAAGTCCAAGATGATAAAGAACAACAGTTTTAACTCTTGTTGCTGTGACATGAGTTTGAACAAAATTACTAGTGACACTTTCCAGCATCTGATATGTTTTATGGTCTGATTTACCACTTTTTTTACAATAATCTTTATCTGTACAAGTTTTGCAAACATTTGTTATATACATTATTTTGTCCGAGATGGCTTATCTTCAAATTGATTTTATTTTGATAACGTTATTTGTAGGTAGCTTTTGAATCTGGCTTTTGTATTGCTTAGCTCTTTTTCATGGTTCCCTCAGGTCAGGGAAACCAGGAAAAGCATGTATATATACATAATTTTGCTCTTCTGGGGCTTAGAAAAACCGTTGAATTTCATTTCAGTAATGCACAACTGGAAAAAAGAATACCATGTTTCAAACTTTTATTGGAATTTCACCAGCACTCATCAAATCTTTAATTGGCTGCACTTGAATTGGTGAGTAAGCATGTATAACATTGGCTCATTAATAAACCTAATTCTGAATTGTTAAATTAAAAAAAATACAGTTTGGCATTGTTTTTCAATTCTGGTCAGCTTCAGTATTTTCATTATGATTGAGTGGATTAAGTGAGTGTGAGTATGGTAATCCCCCCAATTAAGTGCTGTCAAACTTGTTTTAGATTCTGTTGGATAGAGCCCTGATAAAAGTGTGGTTGCTGATAACTGCCATTTTATTCCATAATTAGTAAAGATATTGTACACCACAGGAAAGGTCTAACAAACCTTTTGCCTGCATTTAACCTTCCTTACCAGTTACTTGTGTTCTCATTTCAGAAGACTGCTATTTATATTAACCTCAGAAAGTATTACAAAGAGTTAGTTTAGTATCACTCACTAAACTTCCTCCTAAACATTTTTGTCAAAATTTTTACAGTGTTTTATTTATCTTGGAAATACTGAAGAAGGAGAATCTATCCACTCTGTTATTAGAGATGGTTTTGATTAACAAGCTTACATCATAGTAGCCTTAATAAATAATTTGTTATTGTCTCATGAAAGTATGAAACAGAAATATTTGGAACTCATGCTAGATTGTCAAAATTAAAACTTTATTTTATAGTTCAACTACCTGCTATGGTCTTTTCTGTATGTTAACTTAAAAAAAGAACACATGATTATGCATGATATTTTTGATTCATTTAATGATAAACTTAAAAGGTCCTGAAAAAGTACCGGAACTTATCAACCCAAGTGTGTAATGCCAAGTCTCCTTGCATGAGTAATCTTGCTTTGGTTTTTGGCTTTGTAAGAACAGTTTATATATATATATAACTGAGAGTAGCAATCCATTGTATAATAGACACAATCAAGCTTTTCTACTTCATAGAAAACTGTAGTTTACTGTATTTATTGTTCTGTAAGTCTATGAACAAAGTTTGTGGTGCATATATTCTTTCATAATCTGTCAAGTAAGTACATGCTTTTCTGTTGATATTTTTATATGGTTTGTAAAAAGAAAAATGTGATATTCCCCTTTTTTGTCACTTATATGTATTATATTCAATACTAAGTTCCCCACATTGTACAGGATAAATTCTTATCACTTGCTTTAATGTTATTTAAGCATTTAAAAGTGGAAGAAGTTAAAAAGTGAGTCTTTTAACCTACTGCTTTAGATTGTGTCTGGTCCTGTTAGAGTGAATGTTTTTGTGTTTCAGATTCAAGGTTTGCAAAATTATCATCATGCCATCCTGAGTGCAACTTTTAATGTAGCATGTTACTTTTATATGGTAATTTGGTTAAAATATGAATAACTAGCTGGAGTACATGACCCTAGACGAAAGTTATATAAAATCATGATTAATGAAAGGTTATCTTAGGACATGAAAAGTTGCTTCCCTT